CATCTCTCAAGAATATATATTAGCAATGATCAAGGACCATACAAATAATCTATAAAGGATCTATAATACTATATTTTCTTGATTATAAGAGGCCATACATTTTAAGACACTGTTTAATAACAGTTTTTCAAGGCGAAAAAAAAACTATCATATTGAATGCATGCTCTGATTTTAGTAGCATTAAACTGTAAGAGCAAGAAGGACAACTTGGGAAATACACTATTCACTTAAGCCAATCTCCTCAACCTTGTCCCCAAAACTAACTTTTTGCTTCTCACCAAGAAAAAAACCTAACTGAATACAAATTTCATTTCATTTCCTTTATATTGATCTTACAACTTCATAATTAAAAAACAAAGCCAGGCATCTCTAGGTAGAAAAACAGCAAAGGCCAAAGCAATGAACAAACTAGATTAGTCGTGACAGAAGAGATGGAATTCAAGTTTCCTTTACACTATCTTATATTTTTAGAATTGTAAAGAAAAAGTCAAACTAAATGAAGATAACATATTTGCAAAATAACCTGCTATTTCAGTCTCCGATCAAGTGATCTTCATATGAAATGGTTAAAAGGGCTAGGTGCAAATGTCCATCCAGACTGTACAAGAGTACTTGAAAAAGTTCAGGCTGGTTGGTTAGAATGCAGTGCTGTAACACCAAGATCAAGGGTTCAGATCCCCATATTGCGCGCGCGGCCGCGCACACGATTGCTTATCAGCCTACCCCCCACAGATTTGCAATTAGTCAGAAAAGGAAAATATATCAAGATGTGTTCCAAATACTATACAAAGGGCTTTCAAAAAGTTAATGGAAAATGCATATCATGAAAAAACTATGCATGGTTTGCATAATTTTTTTTCATGAAAATAAACTCATATTAACTTGTTATAACATGCCAGAACAGGATCTAGTTTAAGGCATTGAGAAAGATAAGACGTCAGTGGAAAAGAACCCCTATCAAAGCAAAATGAATCCTGCTAAAATTGAAGCAAGAACAAACATTGAACTTATGGTGAAGCTTGGGTGGAAGGATGATGAAATCGTTGATGCTTTACGAAAAGTTTACGCAGACAATGCCCCCCCCCCCAAAACCAGCAATTTACAAATAAATAGCTTGTTTTAAGAACAAAATGATGTTGAAAGCAAAGCCTGCAGCAGCAGACCATCCACATCAATTTGTGAGGAAAAATTTAATCTTGTTCATGCCCCAATTGTAGAAGACCAACGATAAACAGCAGAAACAATTGCCAATGCCATAGATATCACAACTGGTTCAGCTTACACTGACTGAAAAATTAGGGGCTGGCTGGTTAACTCAGTTGGTTAAAGCACAGCCTTGTAACACTTTGACTGAAACATTACAGTTGAGCAAACTTTCTGCTCTATGGGTGCCAAAACTGTTACGCGCAGATCAGTCACAGAAAAAAGCACAGATTTCGGGCCGGCCCGGTGGCGCACTTGGTAGAGTGCAGTGCTTGGGAGCACGGCGGCGCTCCTGCCGAGGGTTCGGATCCCACATAGAGACCGGTCCACTCACTGGTTGAGCGCGGTGCGGGCG